TTAAACACCATAAAAAGTAAGTGAATTGTACTGAAAACTGCCTTTTTCAGAAATCTAGTTTTTCATCTGGTTAATTTTCCCTCTTCTCACATCCACAGCTGCATGGGGATCTCCTTCCTCTTCCTTGCTACAGTGAGCCCCCCCACTGGGAGGGAGGGTCTTGCCTGTGTCCCATCATCTTTGCAGTCTTCATCCTGGGCGGAAGCCACTGGGCAATAAATTCAGTCTTCACACCCACTCTGACAAATATGCCTTCACCTCCCAGGGTTGAAAAATAAATCCTTACAGGATACAGAAGCATTCCTCTCAAGAGTTGTGTATCAAGACAAAAGGGAGAGCATAAACAGGCATAAATAACGTTTGTCATCAGCCGCCACATACAGGGCACATCCCTCTGAAGGCACAAACATGACCACAACCAAAAACAGGCAGACATCACTTCCACAGTTCCTGTTTTTCCTCTATATCTATTTAAATCAAAAGTGAGCAATGTTCCGTGATCTTTTCTGTCTTAGTTTCTTGCTGCCTCTCCCTCTCTGTCTCATTTTACTATTTAGCAATGTCAGATCTATAAATGTAAAGAATAACTTTAATTTTTTTATTATTAATAGCTTTGAAAATCTTTGAAATCTAAAACATCTGACATATTTGAATCTTGTCTTCAGTCTATTTGTAAATGTGAATAAAATCCGGGCACTAGTGGAGCTGCTCTTTTTGAGAGGCAGATTTCTCATCTGAATTACAAACCTGCTTTAAAAGAAACATTTTAGGTACTTTTAAATGATGGATGAACCTTTTTTTTTTAAAAAGATTTCCATCTCTGAGCACAGTTTTTTGTGCAGGTAAATCTTAACTTCAGGATCAATCAGATAAAGTTTAGACCCGTGGCATTATTGTTGGCTTTTGCCATATTTTAAATGGAGATATAACAATTTCAGCCTTTAAAGTTATAGTGGAGGATTTTCTTTTTCCGGGTGGATCATCAAAATAAATGGTCCTCCTGACTGTCAATCATTCTGGTGATATGTGTACTTAAGTCTGTCCTACGTGCTCGTCCCCAGTTAGCTATCTGTTTCTGCGCATGCGCACTGTTACGCGTATATCTGTGGTGAGCTATGGTTTCAGCCAGTCATTGAAGCTCACCTTTCTCAAAGCAGTTCCTTTGAACATGGCAGAGGGTGATAAGAGAAAAAGTGTCTACGAAGTGTATGAGAAGAAAAGAAAAGCCTCATAACACGCCGATACATCCCGAAATGCTTTGCAAGGAGAGTTCTCCATGCAAAGCATTCCGGGATTTGTTGTCACAGTGGCCCGCTGTTGCTACCCGACAGGGGTGACTAATAAGAAAGATGGTGCACACAGGCAGTGGAGGAGGAGTTACGGCACCAACAGGGAGCAAAAAGCAGTGTTCATCTGTCCGAGTGGTAAGTCAACTGAGTTTGCTATAAAGCCCACTATATATTCCCTGCTCTATATAGCGATTGAGGATTCTAGGGATTAGGGCGGACGTTCGGGCACAGTAAGCTTGTATGAGCTATGAAAACAGAAACTTTTAAATAGAGCATGCACAAGAGAAATGGGCTCAAGCATGCTCTCGCTCAAATTTATTAAGGGGTACCCTCTTGGGAGTGATTACAGGGTTGTGCATGTGTATTTTTTTAAATGGGGTCTAATGTGGGCGGGTCTTTTAAAAAAATCATGAAAATCCTCCGCAATACCTTTAAATACTTAGTGGTGCACAACGCCGACTTTTTAAAATTGTGTTTAAGTACAGTATCATACTTTAATGGATTGTATTGGGATTGTATAGAAGCTTGTTTCTGCTTCTCTCATAAAAAAATAGACAAACCTATAACTCATAATTATGAGATACTTTCTAATAATAATATCCCATAGATATGAAATAGGTAAGGGATAAGGAAACCAGCTGGGATTCTTCCAAATGATGGAAAAAAAGCCTCAAGTGACAAAAAAATTTGAACATTAAAGGTGTGAAAGATGATTCATCAAAAAAGACTTAATTGATGGCTGTATGGTTCCCCCTCCAAAAAAAATTTAAATCCATAAATTCTGGCCAGGTCGGTCCTATAAAACTTTAGCCAATCCACTTTGCCCACTATCGAAAGTGGATTGGCTTCTTGTTTGTCAAATGAAACATTTAGCGTACGGGACCCCAGTTCGTTATTTACATAGGCTCCAAGCGTAACTTATACGCTGTTTGGCTAGCGGTCCGCCATTATGCTGAAGCACAAAGAAGTACTTCTAAGCTTGTTTGCTACTGCGGCTTTTTTAAAGCTATTTGTTCACTCTTTTGTTTAAACTAGCATCATTGCAGAAAAAAATCCTGACAAGCATATTCGGAAAAGAAAGCCTTTTTTTGATGTAGTTGAAATGAGGAGGGAAAGTGGGAGAGGACAGAGCCGGTTAAGTTTGTGTTAAGGAGATTCTTTGCAGAGATGGCATGCCCTGAAGTAGCAAAAGGGTCTGAAAACAGATACTTTGGTCGCAGAACTTCTGCACTTCTGCTGGACGTGTAATTCTGTAGTAAGTTGGTAAGTTGTAGCAGCCGCAGCAGCAGTGAGAACACACCAACAAATTGTAAATATAACTTGCAGAGCCCTCTTCTTCTTATATCTCTTATAATAATCTTATAAAGATTTCCTGCTGACTAGGTGCATCGTGGAACTTTGCTGCCTCTCTAGGTGGAATACAAAATTACCGGTAACGTGGAGGTGTTTCCAGCGTAGAGAACTTTCAGAGGAGGGGGCAGTGACCAAGAGCACAATTCAAAAACTACACAAACAGCAGAATTCTCTTTCCTGCCTTTAATAAAGAGGATTAGTTTGGATGACACTATTGTAATGTAAGACTGACCGAGTTAAAAGTTCATCCATGTACATATCTGCTTGTCCTTGCAGAATTGCTAGGGACTGCTCCTTATATATAATGTTTTTTTTGTTTGTTTTATTGGCAAGGGCCAGTACAACCTTGACAGTTCTCCAAAACAAAGATAATTTCTTTTTTAATTTAATTTTGCATCATTTTGTGTTGTCCAACCATATAAAATCTCTATGAAATGCTTTGACAAAGAAAATAAAGGCTTTTTCCAAGACACTTAAAGCTACTTCAGGGTTAGCTGGTCACATTGGGAAGTCTGACTGGGTTTTCTTTACTCTGAATCAAAGTGTTGAAATGATTAGTTTCCACAGACAATGCCTCAGCCTTGTAATCTCTTGTAACATCTGAAGTGAGCGTCTCTATCACTTCCTGTAACATGTCTGGGAGATTTGCTTAATGCAGGATGACAGAATTAGGTAATATCTATCTGGACACCTGACAGACCGTATTTACTTTAAATACTGGGCATTGATTCAGTCATAAAATGTGCTTCCAATGTTTCCCTTTGGACAAAAAAAGCCTGTAAAAGCCCAGCTGTCAGACAACATAACTCAGAAGTTTAAAATCAGATAATACAGGGACTCATTTAACATTGGTCCGTAGGTTCACTGTGATCAAACATTCTTAGACAGAGCCAGCTTTTAGTGAACAGGCAAAAGAGTCCTGCTCTGTCTCAAAACAGGTTTACCAAACAGTATTTGAAACTAATGTAAGGCTTTACCTTATAAAATAAATTCCTTGCCAATATGTCAATGTTACCCCTTTGAAATTTTATTTCTCTAAGTCTGCGGTTTGTACTTTTAGAACTAGAGCTGTACAACTGGACCTCTCATTTCAGGCTTTTATTTCAATAAATGCCCTCAGTAGTTTCACTTAACATCTCTTCCTCTACCAGCAGTAGTCAGAAATAACGTAATTAAGTCCCATAAACAATTAGTTTATTAAAAAAAAAGACATTAATAATCCTATCCTCTTTCCTTTGCAGGTTTGTGGTGGATTATTGCTAGCGCCTACCTCCAGTGGCCATTAGCTGAGATTTGGGTTACACCTTGGACTGTTCTCCATTCCATCACGGTCTCATTTAACTGATAAATAAACAAGTAAGCACAACCCACTCTCTCCTTGTGCAATATATGGAGACTGATTAACTAAAAAAGCTATTTTTAGACTGTATTTTTGCATGTCCAGTTATGTGTATATCTCAATAGATTAAGTGGAATTTTACATTTCTGATCTAATTGTGGTTTCCCGTTTTCCATTGTTTGAAGTGTCTCAAGTCTGAAAGAGATCGTGTTTAGTGTCGAGCAGTGATCCGTTGTTTATATTTGAAAGGACGCATCACATGACCTTGTTCAAGGTCATATGATGTGGCTTCATCACCATAAGTTACTTTCATTTCATCAAAAGCAGGCATCCCCAAAGTCGATCCTCGAGGGCCGCTGTGCTGCCGGTTTTAGAGGTTTCTCTGCTTTAGCACAGCTGATTCTGATGATTGCAGTTCAGCAAAAGCCTTTTAATCAACTATCAATGTAAATCAGCTGTGATGGAGCAGGGAAACCTCTAAAACTTGCAGGACAGCGGCCCTCGAGGACCGACTTTGGGGATGCCTGATCAAAAGTCTCCCATGGTGTGGGGATCACTGCTCAACAAGCTCGATTTCAGAATTGACTCTCTTCAAACACCTGTAAATCAGAAACCACCATTAGCTCAGAGCTGTAATTTGCCAATTAATCTATAGATATAAATAATTGCACATGCAAAATTTCAGCTAGATCAAACAACTGGAAGTGGGTCAGGGAAATATTGAACGCCCCTTGTGTGTGTGTGTATATATATATATATATATATATATATATATATATATATATATATATATATATATATATATATATAT